AAAAATGAATGTTGTTTCTCTGTCTGTTTCAGTCAATAAAGCGAGACAACGCCAAGCAATGTATAATAAGGAAACTCTTCCACAATAATGGCATTAGCCTGTTTAGGTCTTGCATAGATTGGGTACAAATCTTGTTCAACAATTTAAAATAAGTTAACTTTAATAAAAATAGGTATACTCTTAGGTGAATTTGCCTCATATCTAGAGATAGTACAACAAGGAAACTTTTCAAAAATTAGCCTACTTGTTGAGATTTCTAAATATCTTTTGTGCCTTGCCTGTTGTGTATCGATCTTCAGTGTAACATTTCTGTATTTTACAACAAGTTAAAATAAGTTAGCCATAATAAAACAAGTATATTCTTTGATGAATTCCTCTGGTATCTGGACAGAATACAGTAAGGAATAATTTCCACAATAACACTAGCTTGTTATTTAGGTCGTGCATAACCTGAGTATAAATCCATTTAAACATCTATATCTTTTATAACAATTTAAAATAAGTTAACTGTAATAAAACAGGTATACTCTTTGATAAATTCCCCTGGTATCTTGACAGGAGATATGTAATGATAATTGTAACTTTAAAGATAAACTCCAGCTGAAATTCTAGAGGGATAATAGTGATATTTGTACCAGGTTATTATTATATTAAATAAACTATAATTCTAATAAACCTTATCTTCTGATAAACCTACCTTGTATATTTATTGATTCTTTACTTATCTTTAAACAGTTGGCATTCTTTGATCTTGTATATATCATTCCATTGCCTCTTAGCTGGATTTTTACTCAAACTTATGTAAACTCCACTTAAAATAAAATAAACTGTTTTATCTAGATTAATGAGATAGAATAAAGTTTTACACCTTTGCCGACTTGTGCCTTGAGGCATGTTCTAAGTAAAAAAAAAAATTGTTAATGGTAAGGTAATTGTAGAATTATGAAGATAAAACAGAGCTTATAGAGTGCTAGAATATCTTAATCTGGATAATTTTGGATTGAGAGATTATCATTATGTTTATATTGGTCCCTGTCTCCATGGAAATAATTTCTGTTACTTCTACCCAAATCTTCTCAATTTTCCACAAAATATCTGCCAGGGGGAAGTCACTCTACATTTCTAGATAAAAATTGAACCCACTCTGGATTCAACATCATAATATAAGTGATAACACTTGATTTAATTTTAATTTTTAATTTGTTTAAGATGATGGAACAGAAAGACCTGTACCAGATCACGAGTGTACCAAATCCAAACCAAGCGTATCAGAAGCCTGTCAGGTGGAATGTAACTGGGATTGTTCAGTATCACATTGGTCATCATGGAGTGAATGTAGATCTCGAGACTGTGATGATTATATTAGAAGAAAAAGAACTGAAGAGAGAGGAGGTAGGGATAAATTTGGTTCTTTTGGTAACACATACTTATACTTATATATATCAAGTAGGGCTGGTTATCAATTACCAAATTGAGATCGATTATTGATGGCAGACTACTGATCAATAATCGATTAATAATCGAAATAATTTAATTGAAAAACCCTGTAAAAATAAATTAAAAGTCATATAATTATATTATTATATCTTATTGTGGGTATGTGATGTGCTGAAGGGAACCTGTGGAAGAGATTACTTCTTGGTTAACGGGTGCCGTAGGAAAATTCAACTTTGACTTAGAGACGATAATGGATTATTTCGATCATTTAACCCTGCCCATATGTCATAGTATCACTTCCAGCGCCTATTGTTTAAAAGTAACAAGTTGTAATACTAACAAGCAGAACGGCATACTTTTGTAAAACCTCAGTTAAAAGACCTGTTGAAAGCACATGCATTTATACTTGTTAATTATATTGCCTGTGATGAAATATATTATCTATCTCATCTTTACATTAAGGCACATGCTTTGACACACGTTTATGGACCTTGACTAGCTAATTATATTGCCAGTAGGATGTTTTATATCTCTTTGATCCATATCATTTCTATGTCAAATTTTTATTTCTGTCTGGTAAAGAAAAGCACATGCATTGACCTATTTTTATGGGCATTAGATAGCTAATTATATTGCCTGGATGATGTGTTGATTTAAGATATGCTTTGATCTTATTTCTATGTTAGATTGCTATTTCTGTCTGGTGAAGAAAAGCACATGCATTGACCTATTTTTATGGGCATTAAATAGTTAATTATATTACCATGATGACGTATTGTTTATATATAACATGTGTATAAGATATCAGTAATACGTCTGTGGGATGAGAAGGTGTGATTAGTCAAGCTAATGATTTTATCAGAATCAAATTTGATGTTCAACATTTCGTAGACAACTCAGTCTGTGTTTATAGATAACTACATCTCAATTAATACATACAGTGGCGGAGCCAGCCTCTTGGAACTGGGGGTACAAATAGCAAGCAAATGGACATAATGGGGGGATGTTTGGATTGAGATTGCAAATGCTGATGCTTTGTCGAAGACTCCCATGGGGGGTCTGAGGTGGTTCTTTCTCAAAAATATTAAGAAATATAGAATCAATATGGTGCATTCTGATATATATTTATGGGCCAAAACCATCATTTTTTAAACATTATTAAGATTAAAGAATTAATGTGGGGTAACAATTTATGGTACAGCTTTTTTCTGCCCCCAAGAAACCTCCTGAGCCCCCATAATTAATCCCCCCCCCCCATCCTCCTTGTTACATTCACTGCTACTGAATACACATATGTCTCAATATGTTGAAATATTTAGAACCTTGCTATAAATAAATCAACATGTGTAATTGTGTTTTCTTTGAACAAGGGACATCATAGCTTCTCATTTTTTTAACAGGTGGATCATAGATAAATTAATTTGATCAGCTTATCACTCAATTAGGTTATGGTTTGGCTTAATATAATTCCAACAAAACAGGTGCTGGGTGTTTGACTATTTGAATCACACTTTACAAGGTTAGGCAGTGGTGTTAAAATGGCCTGGTGCTTCTTACTAACATTAGCCCACTTCAGTTTATCAATATTTCATATGCAAAATGTAACAGAAAGTTGGATAGCCATGTGACTATGAATTACAGTATTCTTTTCTATTTCTATCTTTATCTGTATCATTGTGGTTTGATTTTTGGACTTGGACGACATTTAGAAGTGAGGAGTATATCTCACAAACACAAGACAATATTATGGAATAAGCACACTTCTTTAATAAAATATTAAACACTTGTTATATAAGAGTACTTGTTCCATTGCCTTATGTTAGTGGTTAGATATTTGTGCAAAAGGAAGGGTATAAAACCAAATTAAATGTTAGCTGCAATAATTCCGTGAAAATCTATCACTGTTTAAAAAGAAATTACAAATGCACATTATTTGTGAAAACAAGAAAAATCTGTCGCAACTTCCTCAATATTTTTTGCAATCCACAGCTACAAGTAATAGAATTGGTTCCATGAAGTCTGATATAGTAATATTTATAATGATTTAAAAGCAGGAGATGTGCAAAGTTTATTTATTAGATCAGTGTATGGACGATATTACCATGATGTGTTAAATACAAAATATATTGGTTCAACTGCAGAATTTATGAGATGCAAGATTGATTTGAAAGCTTGTCAAATATCATTTCTTGATGCATTTATTGTTTATATTCTATATTAATGTATTTTGTTTATATTCTATCTAAGATATTAATGTATTTTATGGTGATTTTCAAAACAAGAAATGTTTATCTGAAAGGTAGATAATGATGCCTATCAGATATATCTTCAATTATTACATATTCTACTAAAAAAAAGTCTCTGAAGACTTTAGAGTACATCATTAGTCAATGTTCAAAAGATTTAAAAAGATTCAAATAATTGCTTTCTTTAACTCACTTATTACTGGATTTAAAACTTCTCATGAATAGGACTGTTTAGAACCAAAACTTAGTTATGCCACAATTAACACCACACATGCCTCCTCCCCTTTTTGCTTCTCCATTTGTTGTTTCAAATAGGAAGGAATTATCATTGGATATCTCAAATCATAAACTTGACCCATCTTTGTATTAATTTCAGTTTCATCTTCTCCCTGATCTAAATTAAAACATTGTATCTTTCAGGTAAAAGGCATCGGACAAGAGAAATTCTAACATTACCTGGTCCTGGAGGTAAGGCATGCCCTCATCTTAGCGAGACTCAAGCATGTGAACCCATGGCTTGTTACAGTTTAAATATAACGTATGGTGACTGTGTATCCAACACAAGAACAGGCTGCGGTCCGGGCAGGAGACAAATATTAACAACTTGTATGAGCAGAACAGGGGTAAGTCATTAACATAAACTCACTCTTACTTTGGTTGGTGGGTAGATGAAAACTTAAAACATATGTTGATATCACAGACTAGGTAGTTGTTGGTAGATGAAAACTTAAAACATATGTTGATATCACAGACTAGGTAGTTGTTGGTAGATGAAAAATTAAAACACATGTTGTTATCACAGACTAGGTAGTTGTTGGTAGATGAAAACTTAAAACATATGTTGATATCACAGACTAGGTAGTTGTTGGTAGATGAAAACTTAAAACATATGTTGATATCACAGACTAGGTAGTTGTTGGTAGATGAAAACTTAAAACATATGTTGATATCAAAGACTAGGTAGTTGTTGGTAGATGAAAACTTAAAACATATGTTGATATCACAGACTAGGTAGTTGTTGGTAGATGACAAGTTAACACATATGTTGATATCACAGACTAGGTAGTTGTTGGTAGATGACAAGTTAACACATATGTTGATATCACAGACTAGGTAGTTGTTGGTAGATAAGTTAACACACATGTTGATATCACAGACTAGGTAGTTGTTGGTAGTTGAAAAATTAAAACATATGTTGATATCACAGACTAGGTAGTTGTTGGTAGATGACAAATTAAAACATATGTTGATATCACAGACTAGGTAGTTGTTGGTAGATGAAAAATTAAAACATATGTTGATATCATAGACTAGGTAGTTGTTGGTAGATGACAAGTTAACACACATGTTGATATCACAGACTAGGTAGTTGTTGGTAGATGACAAATTAAAACACATGTTGTTATCACAGACTAGGTAGTTGTTGGTAGATAAGTTAACACACATGTTGTTATCACAGACTAGGTAGTTGTTGGTAGATGAAAAATTAAAACATATGTTGATATCACAGACTAGGTAGTTGTTGGTAGATGACAAATTAAAACACATGTTGTTATCACAGACTAGGAAGTTGTTGGTAGATGACAAATTAAAACACATGTTGTTATCACAGACTAGGTAGTTGTTGGTAGATGACAAATTAAAACACATGTTGATATCACAGACTAGGAAGTTGTTGGTAGATAAGTTAACACACATGTTGTTACCACAGACTAGGTAGTTGTTGGTAGATGACAAATTAAAACACATGTTGTTATCACAGGCTAGGAAGTTGTTGGTAGATAAGTTAACACACATGTTGATATCACAGACTAGGTAGTTGTTGGTAGATGAAAAATTAAAACATATGTTGTTATCACAGACTAGGTAGTTGTTGGTAGATGACAAATTAAAACATATGTTGATATCACAGACTAGGTAGTTGTTGGTAGATGACAAATTAAAACACATGTTGTTATCACAGGCTAGG